ACTTTAGAGAGACAGAGAGCATGGGGTGGGGAGGTGCAGAGGGGGAGGGAGAGAGAGAATCCCAAGCAGACTCCCCGCTGAGCAAGGAGCCTGATGAAGGGCTCGTTCTCACAACCCCAAGACCATGACCCGAACCGAAATCAAGAGTCCGATGCTCAACCAACTGAGCCACCCAGGCGCCCCCAAAGGGATTTTTTTCAAATGAAATCATATCTCTTTTTTAAAATATTTTATTTATTCGTCAGAGAGGGAGAGAGACGGCACAAGCAGGGGGAGCGGCAGGCAGAGGTAGAAGCAGACTCCCTGCTGAGCAGGGAGCCCAATGCAGGACTCCATCCCAGGACCCTGGGATCATGACCTGAGCCAAAGGCAGACACTTAACTGACTGAGCCACCCAGGCATCCCAAAATCAGATCTTATTTAGGAGAAAATGCTCTCTAGGTAATAATGTACCTAATTTTTTTAAATTTTTATTTTTAAGTAATCACTACACCCAATGTGGAGCTTGAACTTACAATCCCAAGATCAAGAGTTGCATGCTCTACCAACTGAGCCAGGCCAGGCACCCCTGTTATGTAATATTTTCTGATCCAACATTTCTTCATGATTTAGGTGTCTTAAAAAATGAAGAGCAATGCCATGGTTGGATTAGATGTTAACATTAAAGGGAAACTGAGTGAAAGGTATACGGGAACTCTTTGTACCATCTTTGCAAATCTCAGTAAATCCGAAATTATTTAAAAATAAAAAGCTTATTTAAAAAAACGAATCAGATCCTGTTACTCCTCTGACTCACTCTACAGTGATTTCCCACTCGTCTTAGAATAAAATCTGATGTCTTCTCATGGGTTCCTAGGCCCTGAGTGGTTGGCCTTTGCCCATATCTTCAACCTCCCCTCCCAACACTTGCCCCTCACACTATCCTTTGGCCTTCTTTCAATCTACTAACACTGGAAGATTGTCCCTGCCTCAGGGCCTTTGCACCTGCAGTTAACTCCGTTGAGAAAGATTTTCCCCATGTAGTTCTTCTCATGACTCTCTTTCTTTTTTTTTTTTTAAAGATTTTATTTATTTATTTGAGAGAGAGAGAATGAGAGACAGAGAGCATGAGAAGGAAGAGGGTCAGAGGGAGAAGCAGACTCCCCGCTGAGCAGGGAGCCCGATGTGGGACTCGATCCCGGGACTCCAGGATCATGACCTGAGCCGAAGGCAGTCGCTTAACCGACTGAGCCACCCAGGCGCCCTCATGACTCTCTTTCTTATTCTTCAGATCTTGATTCTAATGTCAAATCCTCAGAGTCCCTCTCCCATGTAATCATGTGATCCCTTCTAATTCTGTCACAAAATTTACCACTCTCTGAAACTACCCTCTTTGACTGGTTTCTCTGTTCCTGTCTATCTCCTCCAATAGACTGGGAATTCCATGAGGGCAGAGGTGATGATGGTTTGCTTACTGCGGTGTCCCCGGCTTCTTACATGGGGCCCGACACAGAGTAAGGCCTCAGTGAACATTTGCCAAAAAGAATACCAGTGTCTGCTGGTAATACCACAGGGAGTTGAAACAAAGCTGTGGACCTTGTCAAAGGCTCTCATCCATATTTTTTCCAATGGTTCTCCACTTTGTACAAAACCACCCGAATACCCAGGCAGGTCCAGATTTACTGGCAAAACTCATCATCGTTTATTTGTATCATTTAACAATAATCCTAATGCTCATTAAATTGAGATAAGGGAGGGAAGTGCTCACCCCCAACTTTCTAGAACAGAGTTCCAAATTATTGGTTAAGGGCCAAATGTAGCCCAGAAATGTTTTGTCAGTTTCATATAGTGTTTTAGAAGAATTAGGGTTCATGACAAGCCAGTTTAAAAATTGGAAATTTTAGGGCACCTGGGTGGCTCAGTTGGTTGGGCGTCTGCCTTTGGCTCAGGTCATGATCCTGGAGTCCTGGGATCAAGTCCCACGTCGGGCTCCCTGCTTGGCAGGGAGTCTGCTTCTCCCTCTCCTTCTGCCCTCCCTGCCCCTGTCTGAAATAAATAACATCTTTAAAAACAACTGGAACTTTTCACATAAAAACTCATATGTCCAAGTTCTCCTGAAAACTCAGAGGATCTGGCCACACTGTGCCTGTTTCTCACATGGCCTCAGTGGACTTGAACTGGAAGTGGCTGGCTCCTTAGGTGAATGGGGTGTGGGCTCTCAGCTCACCACAGTCTCTGTCCACTTGGTTTAATTCTTTCATGGTTCCTGAATCCTCCTCAAAGCTAAAGTATCCCTAGAAATACTATTGAATTTCCAAATATTTTGGCCACAGCCTCTCTTACACGGAAGCTCAATGTATAAAACAGATCATTGTACTAATAGTTAATACTAAATGCTTACTGTGTGCCATGGTGCTGCTCTGGTTGATGCAAGGGATGGGGGACCAGAACCTCATCAGATCTCCGCCATCTCCAGCAGCCCCCTAAGAAAGCTCTGTTGATCCAAGCACGAGCATTCAAAAAGCACATTTTAATCCACAATCCTCATTATCTAGATAGGCAAAGTGAGGCACAGAGAGTGGAAGAGACATGCCGCCTATTAGATGGTAGCCTTTCAGGCAAATACTTACTTGTCTGCTAGTCCTTAAGGAGGCCATTAGTATTGATAATGGCAGAAAAAGGCCACTAGGGGACCAGTTCTTTCTTCCAAGAACTGTTTGCTGGTTTCTGGGAGCCATTCAGGCCTACTCTGTGAGTCCATGCCATTCTCAGGCTCTAAGCCAGCTAATTCATGTAGACATATGCCAGCAAAACTGGACTCAAGGGGAGTTGTCCAATGAAGAATGGCATATGGATAGAGGCCCTCCCTATGCCCCAGTCCAGTCTGAAGTCCTCCTCCAGCCCAGATGATATCAACAGATATTAACAGACCTGCTATTTTGTGTGTGGAAAATCATGGCACTCTTTCTGTGGTAGAGACATGTTTAGATCATTCCATCCGGTTCCACATTTATGTGTCAGGGTTGTGCTAGGTGTAGGTTGTGCTACAGTGGTGGTTTGTTAAATATGAACAAGGGCTTTGGTTTCTAGCTGTCCTAAGTACCAGGCCTGGCTCTGCAACTTACTAGCTGTGTGACCTTCATTAGACAACCTAGCCTGTGTCTCACTTTCTTCATCTGTAAGATGGGGATGATAGGAATAGTACATAATTCCTAGGACTGTCTCAGGGATTTGATGAGATAATTTTTGGCACATACTAAGAAAACGAGTGTAGTGTTTTGTTTTGTTTTTTCTCCCCTGCACTTATCAGAAGCTGATATTTCTATTTGCATCTTTGTTTATTGTCTGGCTTACTAGATGACTCTCCATGAGAAGGGCCTTGTCTGTCTTACTCACCCCTGCTTTCCAGCCTAGAACAATGCCTGGCACAGAGTAAGGTGCTCCACAAATATTTGTCTGCTGAATGAATCGCTGTCTTTCATATTCCTGCTCTAATTGCTGTTGCGATGATGCACCCTGTCCTGGAGGAGCCCAAAGTCTCGGGGAAACCAGCGAGAGCCACCCTGACCTCAACAGCCTGCTGTTTTCAAGAGCTGGGCATCGACTCCGAATGTCACCAACTGGGCCCTGTGCCCTAGGCTGACAAACGACACTTGTGTATCTTCTGGCGGACAGAGCTACAGCACGGGAGAATGAATTTAAAAGGGGAAAGTGGCGTTAGAAGCTGAGCCAAGCCGGGGGAGCCCTGAACCTCAACACTCCACCCCAACCCCCCTGCCAGCAGCAAGGGAAGCACAGTCCACGTGCAAGGAGGCCGCCCAGGGAGGGCACCCCTGCGGAGGACTGATGCCCATTGAGGGCACCCCTGCAGAGGACTGACGCCTGCGTGAGGCAATCACCTCAATGGCATTTGGGGGTGGGACATTCATCCTGCGTGCCTTGAGAAACAAAATTAATTTCGCGGGGGCTGGGAAAGGGCTTTGCAAACTAAAACGCTGCAGGAGAAAACAGACAAAAGTAAAGGTCAGGAAAGGAAAGACAGCAGATGTTTTGCTGAATGTGGGCTGCACTTCCAAACCCAGCTAAAGGCAACGCACAGCGCCCCGCCCCCCGGAGATGGCATATTTTGGGGGCTTCTTGGAGAGGGGTGCACTTGGCGAGACAGGGAAGCCGAGGGGAACGGGCCAAAGTCTCCAAGGATGTCTGCAGAAGCCAGGATTGCCTGCACTACGCGCACTTGCCGGGCCCTGCAAACTCGCTCCTCTCTTCCGGCCTCGAGCTCCGACGCGCGAAATCTGCAAATTTTCCCTTTATCTGCTTGCACACGCTTGTTCTGTTCACCTTCGCTCTGGCTGTAATCAGGACAACCGTGCCAGTGATTATATAACTTACTGAGTTCAAGAAAGATAATCCAAAGATAGTAATGATGAAAAATTTTTGAGTGGATTAAAAAAAAAACTCCCCCAAATGTAAAAGTTACAGAGGCCACACACAGACATACACAAATGTACAAATACCCATGATCCCTCCACTCAGGATGAGTAACTGTTAGCCTTTTGATGTATCTGGGAGACGACTTTTTAAATTAGTGCCCAAATAAACCTTTCCCTTCCCCCAAATCCCAGCAAATTTGAATCAAAAATAAGTCAACCTACTTCTCTTTAACACTCTGTCTCCATCTCTACGACAGATTTATCTTGGGGCGTAAATTACAGGACCCCAGATATCTGCCGGTGGAATTTCACACGGCCAAGTCTGCAAACATCCGGCCTAATGAACAGTATCTGGCGGAGGCTACAATCCTACAAGCGCACAGCGGCAGCTTCCCCCTCGTCTCCAACTCCCGCGTGCAACTTTGCAGCTCCCGCTCCCGCCAGGGGGCCTATTTGCTCGGCCCGTTTGGCGGAGGGATCCCGCGCGCGATTGCAGTTACGCTCAACCGTCCCCGCCTCATTCCCGCGCTCTGGCCCCGCCCCCTTCCGCGCTCTGGTCCCGCCCCCTCCCGCGCGCCCTATGGCCCATAAAGAAGTCCCGGCCGGGCCGCTGCACTCCCCCGCGCGCATCCGTGCGCCGACCGAGACTGGCTGAGGAGTCGGCGGCCATTTTGTTCTTCTCGTGGTTCCAGTGGGGAGAGAAGGAGGAAGCAGGGAGCGGGGCGGTTGGGGGGGGACCCGCCGCGGCTGCTGCCACCGCCGCCACCACCGCCCCTGTGCTCGTGGCGTGGGAAAGGAGGTGTGAGTCCCGGGCGCGAGCCGGCGGCGGCGCCGCTGCGGGAGGGTCGGCGGTGGGAAGGCGATGGCGGATATAGATAAACTCAACATCGACAGCATCATCCAACGGCTGCTGGAAGGTGAAGGGGTCGGAGGACGGGCTGAGGGGAGGCGGGCGGCCTCGGGGACTCGCGGGGGAGGGGGAAGTTGGGAGGCCGGTTGGGCTTGCAGCGCGGAGGGGAGTGAGCCCCGCGAGTTGGCTCGTGGGGCCAGGGGCTGCAGCCGGAGGGAGACCGGCCGGGGTCGCGCACTTGGCCCAACCCGCGGACCCTTCCGGCGCGGCTCATTCATTGCTCGGAGGTGCGTGCAGCCTTGCTCCGGGAGATTTGAAAACTCCGCTCCCCACCCCCACGTTTCCGGTCCGTACCCCCTTGCGCCCCGCAAGCGGGACCAGCCTTTAGAGGAAAGAGGGCTGGGGGCCCCCGGTCCGCCCCACAGGACCGCGTGTTCCTTACTTTCTGGTACCCGCCCTCTCGGAAAGCAATTTGATGGGGCTGTGGGTTCCACCAGCTTCGGGGGCTTCTTTCCTATCTTATTTTTTGTGTGGGGCTGGGGTCGGACGGCCCATTTCTTGTTACTTGGTGACGAACGTTCATATCTCCTGAGGATGTCGGAACCCATCCCCTCCTGCCTTCCCAGAAAATCTTAAGTTATCCTTATCTTGAAGAGGTCTCCGCGCTCTTTTCTGAACGTGCCACTGAACATGAAACCAGCGATGGGCACAGTTTGTTATCTTTCCAATGTGCCAGGTTCTGTATTAAGCGCTTTGCGTCCATCTCATAATTATATTCATAGCAATACTCAGCGTTTCTAAAGCGCTTACTGTGTGTCAGACATTTTTAGAGCAGTTTACACACATTTCATAGATACTCCCAATAGTTTTTTGGGAGGTGGGTACTGTTATTTTTTAACCGTTTTTCAGAAGAAACTAAGACACAGGTTAAATCACTTGACCAAGGTCACACATTAGTGACAGGTTTCAAAGCCAGCCGGGCGCTAGAACTTGCTACATTCAACCCACCTTATGTTTGAAGGAAGGTTAAGCAGAAGTTAAAAGAAAGCTTTAATTTTGTCTGACCTAAGACTCCTGAGGTGCCTGACAATTGTTTCATATTGATGTGGGATGCAGATGAAGTTTGGATTTTAAAGGGGGTCTTTGAAGCGAGCCTCCCGCACCCGAATTCCCAAGCCTGTCTACTAATGCTAATGTCTTTTTCTGAGACTTTGGAAGGATTCAAATCTCTTGATTTGGGCGCTGGATAATGAAGATTTGTCTGAGTTTTAACTGCTTTTTGGCTTTATACTGTTCTAAAATAATGTACTGTAGGGTTGCCTGGGTGGCTCAGATGGTTAAGCGTCTGCCTTCAGCTCAGATCATGATCCCAGAGTCCTGGGATCGGGTCCGGCATAGGGCTCCCTGCTCCTTCGGAGCCTGCTTCTCCCTCTCTCTCTCTCTCTCTCTCTCATGAATAAATAAATAAAATCTTTTAAATAAAGTACTGTAAGTGCTTGAGAGATGGAGTCCAGAGCAAGAACAGTTGGGGCAGCTTTGGTACTAGAATTTGCGGATCTTTTAAATTAAGTCATTAAAATGAAATTTCTGAAAATATCTTCATCCATCCTGGGGTGTTTTGTTTTGTTTTGTTTTGTTTTTTTGCTTTTATATTTTCTTAAAAGAAATGTGTCTGAATGTGTCTATAAAGTCCCCTGAAATGCTCTTGAGATGTCAGTGGCATTTACGGGTGAAAACCTTGTCATTCAGTACTTGGCATTTATTATAAGAACTATATTTTTCATATATTTTCATGCAAGTTAATACAGTCCTTTGATTTTTATGAGGCCACAGTCAGCCAGGAACCGATTAAAACAGTTTGCAGTAAGAAAGGACCTTTTTATTAAATATTTTCATTTTAAGTCTTTAACTTTTGCATATTTGTATAGGGTTATGTGTGGAGAGATTTGATGGGCTTTATTTCACTAAGGAAACAACAAATTGGAATCTATGTTGATTAGAATCATCAGAACTTTAAAACCATTTAAGTCTTGTTAACTTAAGACCTATGTTGCTTACAACTCTGTATTCACATAACAGATTTGTTCATTTTAGTCTTATTTTTTAAATCATGCTAAGAAATTTATCTTGATAAACTTGGATCATCTAAAATGAGATCAATCATTTCTTAATAGTTCTTTACGTGTTATGTTGCACTTGAAAACCAGATTTTTTAATGTATCATTTTTTCATTGAAATTAATGTAAAGCATTGCATTTTAATGTCTTTGGAATGGGCTAATTCCACAATACTGTATACTTCAAATTTGCTTTTTTCTCATCAGTGTTAATTTGGCAGAGAAACAGTTGAAGATGATCCATTGAGGATACAGATAACACGCATGCACACACACATCTGTGTTAGAAGATGTTGATAATAAATTTTTTGTGATTTTTCTTTTTTTGTAATGCCCCTAAAACCCTTTTCCCTAAAAATTTTAATTAAGATGTAAGTATATCTGAAAATGGCATATGAGTTTTGTGATCTTTTTTGTATGTTCAGAATTGTCTTTTAAGACTGTGCAAGCTTAGTTGAGAAGTGGCTCGTAATAGTACTAAAAAGGCAACTCATAGTGAGGTCTTTGAGAAAACCAGCATGTTGATTTGGACTACAACTTTGCAATTCTTTTCTAGTCTAAACTTTAAGTAGTTCCTTAAGTGAGGCATCACTTAGGTGACCCACCTTGGAAGCTTTATCCAAGCTCTGCCTTGCTGATGATAAAACTTGAAACTCCTTAGTTTAACTAACATTCAATTTTTAAATAACTGTACAGTAAAACTTAGGAGATTTAGAGAGAAAATAAGCCAGCTGTTGATTTGGTCTGATATTCCTACCATGTTGGAGAAAACTGAGAGGGCAGAGTTTTACTTTGTAAGTGACCAGGTCTGGGGAGTAGAGATGGCTAGTACTTTCCTTACATAGCAGGCCCTGTAACTTATTTCACATCCTGATTTGCAAAAAGCATCTTTTCTCTGAAGATGACAGTTGTCAAACTGCAAGACCTTGTCAGGCTCTGCATAATTGTTCTACTTTCTTTAGTGATTTAAATATGACTTTTGGGGCGCCTGGGTGGCTCAGTCGTTAAGCACCTGCCTTTGGCTCAGGTCGTGATCCCAGGACCCTGGAATCATATGGGCTTCCTGCTCGCTTCTCCCTCTCCCTGCCGGTCCCCCAGCTTATGTACATGGGCGCGCATGCGCGTGCGCTTTCTCTCTCTCTCTCTCTCTCTCAAATAAATAAAAATCTTAAAAATAATAAAATAAATATGACTTATGCCCTGGCCCTCAGAAAGCATCTACTACTTTAATCCTCTGATGTGTAAGAGTTCATCTGAAAGTAGGGAGTGTTCAGATACTCTGAAACTATAAATTTAAGTCACCCATGTATTTAGCTTTTTGGTGTAATATGAAACATGTTTATATTCTAATGTTAAAAAAGCAGCAGTGCCTGGTTTTGAAGATCATACAAAGGACAAAAAAAAAGTTCTTAAAATTCTGATCAAAGAAAACAAAAGTAATCTTTTTTCTAATGAGAATTCTGCAATTATTATTTTTTAAATAGGTCAGATAATTTTAACAATTAGAGGCTTTTCTTGGAAGCAATTATCATAGGGCATTTTGTTGATAGACATTATCATCAAAGCTTGTGTTACTAATTCCCTACTTTGCAAGAAGTCTGTGTTTTGAGGCCCCCTGCCTTTCCCTCTCCTCCCCTTGCCACATGTCAGTAGTAGGCCTCATCCTCTCCCATGAGGTAGGAGGGGAAGGATCTCGGAGACATGATCTGCAGCTTGCACCAGTCCTAAACCACAGCATGGAGAGGATTACTGTCCTTATGCCTGAAGTGCCCCCATGTTTGTCAGTAGCAGGGGACAACAGTGAAATCTAACAGGGTGGTGTGTGTCATGATGTTGTGCTTGAGGGAATGCGAGCCACAAGAACAGACACCAGGCTTTCCTTCTCCCCAGCTGGTGAAATGGAGGTGGTGCCGGCCATGCATTAGTAATCTGTTGTCAAAGATAGAGGTTTTTTGTAGAGATTTTTTTTTTTAAGATTTTATTTATTTATTTGACACAGAGAGAAAGCACACAAGCAGGGGGAGTGGCAGGTGGTGGGGGGGAAGCAGGCTCCCCACTGAGCAGGGAGCCCGATGGGGGACTCGATCCCAGGACTCTGGGATCATGACCTGGGCCGAAGGCAGATGCTTAACTGACTGAGCCACACAGGTGCCCCCGGTGAGATTGTTTCATGTCTTTGATACTGCAGTCCTGTAATCTTTGACCTGTTCTGCAAATTATGTGCCTGTGCCAGTCAGTTTACTTGAGGTAGGTGAGGATTACTGATCCTGAAGCAGGGCAGTGGTTGATAATGATTTTATACCAGCTTGACTGTTTCTCTTCATTTACAATCAGGGCAATTAGAAGACCTTGAAGTTTGAAATGTGAAGGAGGCAATATTCTGATGTGAATTGCTTTAAAAATGGAAGTCTTGTTGAAGATGAATAAGGAAAGATTTCATATTTTTGGAGTTTATGGAATTCTAGGACAAATTATTAAGATTTAGGATCAGACCCCTGTATCCAAGCATGTAAGAACAGATGATTTACTTACAGGTCTCGATTGATTACCTGAAACCTCCAATGTCTCCGCTACTCTAGGGTTTGCTGGCGCCCAGAGTGGGTGTCACTGATGCCTTATGAAAATGAAAATTACTCATAAAATGTAGGGTCAGAACCTCAAGTCTAATTAGTGGTATTTTATCAAAATGGATTGTTAGACTGAAAAGATAAACATTTTTCAGTAAACTGGTTTCACATTAGGTGTAGAAAACTCAGGGTACTTTGAGAACAGTGGTGTTTTCCAGCTGTATCCTGAGTATTTGTCTTGAGAAAATTGGTATCCCCTCTAAATGTCCAAAGTATATACTGTTGTTGCATTGTGTGTCACTTATACCTCAATAAAAAAATAAATGCACAAAGTATAACAGCAGCAGTTAGGAAAGTCAAGAATGAGGGTGTGTGTGGTGCGGA